GAAGACAATCTATTAATACAACGTGAAACCTTCAAATCTGCATGCAAGTCTGGGAGAGAGATTGACCTCGAAAGGACGAAGTCGTTAAAGCAAACGGGTTTAAAGGCGAAGTGAGTGGTGATTCACTTGCCATGGATGAGTAATGTTAACAAATCCAGCATAATAAGAGAATTATCAAAGAATAATATAATCTCCATGATGTATAAAATTAGCAAATCATGTTTTATGTCTGGATATCCAGAAGCATTACTCGACGGAATTGTACTGAACTGTTATTTCCTGACATTCCATGAAGAACAATATATTTTTCACGTTTTACTAGTCAATAGAGCAAAAGATAAGTGTTGTTTATTGCTTTCATCGAGAACTCATGGCTCACTTTAACAATTAAAGCTTCATGGTAAAAACTCTGCACTTTCAATCTAACATTGTCTACAACATTTTTTCCATCCGTAAGTAAATTAATCTACTAACAACCACATGAAAAAACTAATATTCCGTGTAACGTGCTTGGTACACTCATGGCTAGATCCGCTATGCAAACTGTTTAAAATATGCATGATCAAATCCGGTTGTATGCCTATTGCAGACGGAATTCTACAAATGAAAAAATTTGCACCGGAATGCCTCATCATTCACTATTGGCTATTCGAACCTCGAATTGGCACAAACTCGGTCATGGAAAGAAAGGTACCTCTATAAAATAATGTTGAATGAGCCATGTCAAGGTTGTTTGCCATGAAATTGTACATACAGGTACTTACAAATCATAAATTAACTAGGTATAATTTATATCATTTGATTTTCTTCTATATAGGGAATAAGTCCTTAATCGATATTTGCATGCACATTGAGCATTTGCAGAAAATACCGGACCTTCATATGCGAAACAAGCTGATTCATTTCCATAATTTATTACATTCGCAATAAAGAAACGTTTAGTCGCCCAAAGAGCTTTTACTTGTAGAAATTTCCGAAACTTTAAGAACCTTCATTTCGATCCTTCCTCCACAATAAGACGTTGATAGCAACTGCCTTTAATAGCAATCAATATCAAGTTGCTAATTAAATTATTTTAATCGCAATTTGTTTATCATTGCATTATATTTTCATTTCCTTACACCTCAAAATTATACGCAGTATATAATTATTAAATAATAAGATAAGTTTTGCGGCAGTGTAAAAATTAAAATAAAATGTGCGTAACTGTAAATTCCAGCAATGATTGGAGACTTTTATGGGCGTTAAGTAAGTTAAATCAATAGAGTTAATTTAAGTAATATAATAAAAATAAAATAGACTGCTAGAATATAAAGCACATTGCGACGAACCAAGCAAATTTATTAGGGTTTTACCACAGCTACAGAATAATTAAAAAAGTTGGCAGTTATTGATGGCATTTTGCATATGAAACTTTTCAAATTGCTAATATTAGATTAATCTTGACTTCTCAAGTTTCCAAATAGTCTGATTGTTTTTGATTTTCTTTATTTGTTTTTAAATTTTAAATGGACAATTGCTGTTAGAATTCAATTCCTTTATTTTCTGTCCATGTTTTCAGCATGTACCAAAAACTGTTCAGAATGATTTCTTATCTACCCTAAAAATGTGATTTAGTACGATTTATTTTGCCGAACGTAAAATAAACTACAAACGTTCTTGATATTGCAATATGCAATATACATATTTCACACATTTCCCAATAAAAAAGTTATCAATTGCAATTGACGGCATGAAAAATTGCAAACATTTCCGTCTTTCATAATTAATATTCATTACATATCTGATATCCCATAGAATTACATATAATTTTTTTATACCTCAATTCACATTAAATTTGTATAGGTATTTGCCAAAGGCATATTTACGATAAACGATCAAAATAATTAGCTTGCATATATCGATTACAAGCAATGTTATGGTTTGCAGTTTGCAACGTTTGATAAATAAATTAGGTGCATTTCGAAAGCATAGGTAAAATGTATGATTACTAGGATTTGGAACGATTTAAATATGTGTGGAAGTCGTCGATTGTTTAACATGCCGAAAATAAAATTCAATGAGTATGTTATTTTCGCACATCGACTATAAAAGCGATTGTGTTTGAGAAGATATCTGCCGGCTTTGTACTTTAATAAAGAAATCGTTTGGTTTAATAATGATATAATGATATAACCATACATTATAAAACGAGTAGCGGTTTTGATGATATCGAATTGCGGCAAAGATGTTTTAAATTAAAATATTTTACAGATTAAATTAGCGACGACTCATATGCTTGCATTATTAGCAAGTGTAGGGGCTACAGGATATGAAGTAATAATCTAAATTATACATATTTATTCGTCAAGCCGATTGTAAAAATTAAATTTGATTAAATTACTAAACTTCACGAATATAATTGAATTGCAGTTGCAGTTTAATGAAGTGATGTTTTAACTCTGTGCTTATATTTGACGCCGTTTTCTGACTTTTCCCATTTGACAAAATAATTATTCCTGAGGCGCGATGAGAAAGTGACATATCATTTTTAATTCCATTAAATAAGATTAACCTTTTAATATTAGCATTAGAAAACAATTAACTTGAACGTAATTTAATCAAAAAGCTTGGTCGTAGTACGAACTCAAAAAGATAATAAAAAAGGATTATCATCAGTTATGTGCTGATAAAGAGTTGTGAATATCTGATACTTTCGATCAAGTTTCTTTTGACCTGAAAATCTTCAGTCTGCACCTAAATGGTGTTTGAATCTATAATACGCAAAGCATAATCGGTTAATGGCTAAAACCAAGCAAAACTGGCAATAATTTTCGATTATTTCGGATCTCAAAGTCTAGTCTGGCTATTCTTGCCATGTGATGCAAGAATCAACGTTTCACACGCGAGTTTTTATACTGCAGTGTATAGTTTTCGACCGAAGAAGAATTTGCATGTGGTGTGTTTGAACTCTGAATATGACAGATTCGTCCATTAAAGGTTGAACAAGGATCCAAAATTCTCAAATATTAACGTATTAGGAATTCCTTGGATTCGTTGCAGATTTGAGATCTCTAAAGTAGCTGTGAAATTATTTGCTTAATCTTACTTTTAATTTAATTTTCATAACTCTTGCTTCAGTAGTTGCTTATAGTGCAGGTTGCTTTGGGGAAGGTGTTTAGTATGAAGATAACCGAAGCAGAAAACTTGAAACGGTGATCATTTCGAAGAATATATCAACATTGAAGATTAGAATTAATTAATGAAAGTTAAAATGGAAATATTTTTTTGTTAAAATATTTGATCCAGATGCAATTGAATCAGTTAGCAATAAATAATAAAAATGCAGAAAAACAAAACCATAACAAAATTTCAAATTTGCTCAATCGGGCCCGTTCGCCCAAAGCAAAATCTTAATGACAAAATGAATGAATCTAAGCAAATATAAACAATTTTTCCTCCTTCACCAACTGATTGCATTCTCATAAACATTTTTTTCAGAGTGCAGTACATATGGAGGCTTTCCGGTCAATTATAATGCAAACAATTTCATTTGATCCAGAATAGGGAATTATTATCGGACTTGTTACACATCTCAACTTGCTCTAATGACCAACATGTTGCAGCGTCATTTACTGGCGTCATTTATATTAAAATATCTGACATCATTTACAGCGAACATCAGCATCGGTAGCAGATCCATTCAGAATCTATTTTCGCTATTTGAATTTGAATGAACCAATACATAACATGTGGGCGTAAGATGAATTTCAAATAAATTGTAAAATATATGTATGTAGAAATATGTTCGTCATAATGTTTATAACCGAGTAGTTATCAGCAGCAACTTCCGCCGATAGTATTAGAAAATTTGGTGCTAATAACAACGGGGATTTGATCAGTTTAACTGGTTCGTATTTGGCGTCACTTAATATGTTTTATAATGAATGAGGAAACAATGTCTTCTAAGTTACATGTGTAGTATTCCATATGTTCTTGATTTTGAAATCGGGGCGTACAATTTCGTTTGAATGCCGAAAATATCAAGATTCGTTAACAAGGTTTCTCGTTATTTAAATTTTGAATTCTGTGAGGCTGGACACTGTTGTCTAATGTGACTTCAGCTTAAAACTAAGTGAAAATCTGAATGCGTCTGGTCTAGCCTCAACTAGCGCTATTAAATGTGAAATATCGTCAAATCCTACCTTTCTGTATAACTTCACCCAGGTGAGATCGCCCTTGGAATCTGTATACTGGAGTCCGAAGAACCATACTTCCCGAAGACCAATAGTCTTAACTACCTGGTCGAAGAGTTGTTTTCCGGACGTAGACTGCTGGATGGCGAATTCCAGCTCCGCATCCATAGTCGTCACCCTGACGTTCATCTGCAAAAAAAAATTCAGAGCTTAGCGCAAACAAAGTACAACGTGACTCAAAATGAAAATAACTGCAAAAAAGTTAATCGCCGTTTTTGGAACAGCATTATACAAGAAAAAATATACCAAGACTTAACGTCTCATTTATCTCGAAGTATATTTCTAGACTTCGTTCTATACATTACAAATAAAAACGGTATTTTCTATTCACCCTATAATATAAGGTAGCAAATTCAAAAAAAAGTAGCAAAATAGCGTCCTACTGTTTATATTCACTGTATAATTATATTTAAGAAGTAAAGAAGTTCTTAAAAAAATAAATGATATAAAATGTAAAAAAGTAAACCTCAGATATGAGCATGCTGAAAATGAAGATTTTTTAGGATCTAAAGTTTCGATCGAGTTCGTTGCATATCTCGTTGAACATGAAAATGCTGTTAAATTTGAAGCATTTTGAAAGATTCAATTTTTTTTTTGAAAAAAATTAACCCCTATGTAAATCAAAATTTTACATGCATGTTTTTTTTAGCTCAATTTGCTTTGACTGATTGATTTCGACCTAAGAAGCTTTCCTATATGCATAAATAAGATGTTGGAGCCTATACCAAGGAAGACAAGACATAAAACGAGCCCAAAATGTCGATTGTTTCGGATTTCAAGCCTCTAGCGTAATTTTTAATGCACTATTTGCATTCCTCGCTTCATTGAAATGCGTCTAACGTTTATGTAGAGTTGAAAGCATTTTTTTCAAAAAATCGGCCGCTAACTCTAATCAAAAATGTAAATGCATTTAAAAGCAATGGATTACTTTTAATCTAAGAAGCTTTCCAATATGTATAGATAAAATGTTGGGAGTCTATAATAAGGAAGATATCGTCGGTTACAGATCGTATACCTTCAAAAACCACATAAAATGTCGATAATTTCAACTGAAGCCTCTAGCGTGTTTTTTAATGAGCTCAATTTTCCCTTGATTGAGATGAAAATGATTGATGAGATCATATAATTGAAAGTAAAGAAAGAAAATAGAAAAAAACTCGACCTGAAAATTTCGATCAAAAGTCAAGAATGTACAGGCATGTTTTTCGAGCTTCCATTCGCACATTTTTTTTTGATGAGTTCTTGCAGTCTTGGCTTCATTCAGATGAAAATTATGTGAAATTGAAGGTATTTTGGAAAAGTATATTCTTTCAAAATATCAACCGTCGACAAAATTTCGGACAAAATTCAGAATACCGCTTAGGCATTCGACCTAAGAAGTTTCCCAATAAAAGGTTTGAGCCTATAACAAGGAATATATCGTCGATTCAAGATCATAAACGCTCAAAAACCACATAAAATGAATTAGAATTGTCGATTACTCTGGATCTATAGTTCTTAGCGCGATCTTTAGTGCAACGCGTCACATTCTTCTCTTGAGAAATGACATTATTTACATTTATTTACTTTCATATACATAAAAGGTGGGCATTCCAAATCTACATATATCTAGAATCTAGACGATAAACAATGCGACAACAGATGTATCTATAATATAATAAGCACGATTTTAAGGTCAATTTTATTTGTAATTATGACTTCATCATTATTGACGAAACGATTACTCCCTGTGGTAGTTCATTGATTGCTAGCTAAGCTGTAATAGATTTGTTAAAATTGTCATCAATTCCGAGTAGAATGACACAGTGGAGATTACATCTTATCAAAATAATGAGTGATCAATTGTCCTCACCACATGGAGAAAATATGAATAGTTTTGCTATAAACAACGCCATTTTCGATACAAGTTTTACATCTGTTACTATCCTTTTACCTTTATTATTGCGACTACAACAGTAAATTTGCACGATGCCATATCATAAATTTATTTGCGAAATACTTGTGGCTTTTGCCAAAAAAAAGACCACATAATGTTTATTCGCGGCGTTTTTAAAACCGTAAATAATATTAGAGAGCAAAATAGCTCTCGCTTGGTGCAATCTTAAATGATTTTTCGTTTGGATGATTGGGTAAACTTGCCGATGTTAAATAATGTTTATTCTACAAGAACTAAAGGTAGTAACTTGAGTTTCGCGCATTTGCATTAATTCAAAGAACAAACGACAAACACACGTTTAAACAAATGCTCCTCCTATGCTAAATAGAAAATAAATTCAACTAATCTTTACGTCATTTTAATGTGAAACAGTTACATCTTTAATTGTGTTTATTTACTACACTTGTATGAAAGTATTGGACAATACGCAGGCAAATATTAATATAAAATTAAAAATATGTTTGCTTTAAACTTGAACACAATAGTGTACCGGACATTCTAAATTTACTTTTATCAGATGTCTAGAAACAGTGGTCTTCTTTAGTTATGTCCATCACAGGTAATGAATTTAAAGAAGTAAATTGCATGTATCTCGGCATAATTTCACACATTAACCTCTTAATTGCTGCACTACCACAAAAAGCGCCAATTAAGGCTAATTTTCAGCAAGGTTGTGCCGGTCTTTTATGATTACTGAGCATTTGCGACCAGGTAAGTAATTTCTAGGAGATGAATTACATATGGGCAGAAGGACGTTTGAAGGAGATAAATGTGCAGCTTTTAGAGATGCGGCCTTAGGAAACATTTACGAATATCAGCCAYAACCCCGCAGGTAGGAATAATTTATCTGAGACGAAAATAAAAACCCCAGGTCATTTACAGGTGTGAAATAAAATCAATTTTCGATAATAAGCCGGTTGAACAGGTTTATTGTTTTTTAGCAACTTTTTGAAGCTGCCAGACATTTGGAAATATATTTACGCGCTGTTAGATAAGCAATAATGCATACAGTAAATTGCATTTTTACCGTTATAAACTGAATACCTATTGGGAAGTCATCCTACGAATCTTTACAAGAAGTACTAGAAGAGTCGTAATAAAATGCAATAAAAGAAAAATATTTTAATTACAAGCTAATAAAAATTCACCTAATTAATGTTTATGAGAAAGTTACAACGTTGCGCCAAGTATTACAAAACATCCCCAAGTACGGATGAGAGTTGACGAAGTTTGACTCAATTCAGATCGGAAGCCTCTAGCGTTTTTCTAATGAACTCATTGCATTCTTCGCTTCATTGTAATGAACGATTCTACACTCAAGGAATTTTGAGAAAATGTATAGATTTTTTTAAATCGGCCACTACCTCTAATCTCCGATTTTTTTACCTCTACCTCTAATCACCGATCAAATATCAACATTTTACATGCATGTTGGTATAAGCTCAATGGGTTTCTTTCGACCTAAGAAGCTTTCCCCATATTCATATGTAAATAAAGTGTCGCGAGTCCCGAACGCTCAAAAACAAAACATAAAATAAGTCAAATTGTCAGTTAAACATCGTAAACGTTCAAAATGAGTCAAAATTGTAGATTATTTTAGATTTATAGCTTCTAGTGCGTTTTTTAATGGGTGGGTAACATTCTTGATTTTCTTGATCTGAAAATCATACAGAATTTGAAAAATTTTGAAATAAAAATTCTCATAATTTTGTTAATTTCATATACATTATAGTTTCATTTACAGTCGCTGTTGCAAAATAATAGACAAACGCAAACGGCAAATTGCTACGCTTTGGCCAGAGTAATACGACGTTCTCTCAGCCAATTCTTCGTCTTTTGACCTTTTTTACAAAGGTAAAAAAAAGTTTGTAACTGAATATTTGAAAGTTGCCATTAAGTATCTACAAATCTTTTACGTACAAGATAAGCCGTAAAAAATACAAAGTAAAAAAATTTTTTCAAGTACAAGCTAATAACAATTTTATTAATTAATGTTTGTGAGAAAGGTGCCGCAAATATTACAAACATCTCCAAGTAGTTTAAATCATAGACGAGTTTCACTTAATTTGAATCAATTCAAATTTATACATTTTCAAAGTTTACTGTCTCAAGTTTTAAATTTTCCACTAAACAAACGGTCAAGGACTGATTAATTAAATCCATTCTTTCTTTAGTCGGTCGAGCTAAGCAAAGAAAATAAAGGACACAATTTGATATATTGCAAAAACGCTAAAATAAAATTTGAAGGGAAAAACCAATCAAGTAAAATCGAACAGATAAATAGCATTTACCTTCGCATTTTGATTAATCTAATATGTTCAACTTCAATTTATCATTATTAAGACGTGATCAAAAATCAATACGAAATGTATTGTAATTTTAATAAATGATCACTAAGTACCTACATCAAATTTCCATGGCCTAAAATGCTCAACAACGGAAAGGAATTTTCGCGCTATTGCTTACCCTATTTAATTTTCTGGTTGCATAAACCAGCCTTAAAAATATATAATGTCTCTATTTATCAATTAAAATACGTTTTATACACCGAAACGTATTTTAATTGATAAATAGAGACAATAAATGACTGAAACCCAAGAATAATTTTTGATTTGGAATTGAAACACAGTCAAGAAAATATGTACAAAAAATATAATAAGACTATAAAAATGAGTTGCGTTCGAAATTATTTACTCACTTTTCAATTGACTATTTTCTAGATTTTCTAGAGAACTGATTGAAAAACCTAAACGAAAAATCAGGAACAACCTGACCCGACTTACCATTTTGCTTGAAACCATTTTAGGTCAAAAATTAGGAACCAAAACACCTCCACACACACTTTAACAATCTAAACTATATAAATTCAAATTTAACTAATTACTCGAGATACAACTGAATACTACCGAGATTCAAATCAACCACAAACGAACTACAGACGAGTAATACTCAATATACAAAACGCAACTGAGAACTAAGGACTAAGGTAAGAAGTGCAAGCGTTACAAAAAAGGCGACCCCGCTCGTTTTTCGCATCAGTGATCAAAGATCACCTGTATAGGCTAAAAACGAGTGGAACAAAGATCATACTATATGGATCAGAAAGTCGGTGGATACGAACAGAGCCAGTTACAACATTTTAAGGGCTGTGCCCGGCAAACGGACGAATAAAAAGGTACAATTCAACCAACAATATCAAAACGGTTTTTTAATCAACTGACTGATCTACAGTGTTGTCGAATCGAGTGGTTTTCCCAAATGATCATATTTATCAAAAAAATATTGCAAATGAATCAATAACTTCAAGCTAAAAAAGGCATATAAAACATAAAAATATGATTGACTTACTTATAAAGGCGAATTATAATAAATTTAATATGGAGAAGCAGAGGAAACATTAGCAATTCCAACATTGGTGTTGTGTGTGTCATTTTTATTAATAATAAATATTTCAAAATCATTTCTCGATGAGTCACGCATACTTGAGGCGATATGTCCTCTTACAAATTTTTAACTGGCCCATAATTACTTAGAAACTCAATGTTGACCCTATTGAAATTTTATTAATAATCTTCCAGATAGCATTAACCAGAGCAGAAACTACAGGGTCTAAACATCGCCAATATTTACACAAGTTTCTGCTTCGTATCGAAGAACTCGTAAAAAAACACTAAAACTATTATGTAAATGAAGGTACTAATAAATTTACCAAAAGTTCAAGTTATAAAGCACAAAGTAGAACGCAACCTTAGTCAAATGAAATGGATGAAGTTCCATCGAAAAAACTTATAAAGCAAATCGACAAACCGTGAATGATGGTCACCCATAACAAGAATTATACTCGCTTATGCAGTTTTTCTCAAAAAAATGGAACTTTACCACATTATTACCCCCATAGAAAAAATCAAACGAAAACTACAACTGACACTCTTAAAAAAACAGTGTTTCAATGTGTAATTATAAAACATTTTTGACCTAAAAACCGGGTAGTTTGAGAGCTTTTTTTGATAAAATTTTCAAAACTCCTCCATAATTTGTTAGCAAGTAAGTCGCCAATGAAATTATTAGATACAATTTCCAAGATGTGGCATCATCGGTATAATGCCGACCACCTGACACATTGTGGTTGATCTTGAACCACCTGTTGACGTATTTATTAGTTCAGCCAAGCATGAGCATAAAAATAGACAATTACAACAATTGATGAATCTTTTAATTTATATGGTTCATTTGTATGGCTAGTTTGGAAAATCCATTAGAACCACACTGGTCTGTATTTGGATATATTTAATTCACTGAAAAATAAGCTGATCACTCAGTCAATAATATGAAGGCCAATGCTAACCACTATCCAGTGTTGTCCACTTATATCGCAAAATGTTAATAGGATAGTTTGCTTGGGTAATTTTAAGTCTAATTTGCCATTTAGTGGTCTTTGAATTTGTATATGAAACCGGTGAAAATATGCCAATATTAGCAAACGAATTTGAACCAACGCTGTTCTAAGAACACCAGATCCTTCATTGCCAACAGTTCAAACATTATCAAAAATATACGTCATTTAAACATTACAATGAAAATAATGCAAGTACAAAATCAAATTCAGACCAAAACAATGATACAGATCTGAACGAATAAAGATAATTGCTTTAGTGAATCATTTAGGAAACACAAATTATTTCCTCATTTGCCAACGATAGAGTCAAAATAAACCGTAATAAATATTCATTTCATTTCCTTCTGATGATGGCTTCTATTCTGTTAGTACAGTAATTTATTTATTGACATTTTAATGTCTATATTATTTGAATTCATTTAAAAACTGTGTGAATCAATGTGACGAAGAGTGAAGAAAACTCATTTTCACATTGATTCATCATTCTGCTCATATACCTTCATAACCGGATATTATCCTTTTTTCAAATGGCTTCCAAACCCGATTGGAAACTACGTTTATAGTAGTAATTAAAAATAATTAATTTGGGGCAACTTTTTGTTTGTTTTATATAGACTTCAATAAAGTAAAAATTCTGCTTGCAGCTCAAAGCTTTTATTCAATTAGAGGAACCTATGAATAAATCTTACGTCAAAGTGATAAATAAGATATGTAATAAAACTGCAAACTTTGTTGATTGAGAAATAAAGCGTAGGTATATAAATAAACTGCACAACAAAATGAATGTTAACAGCCAAATTTGCAACTGGATAAATTCTGATTGCTTTGAGCAATTTGCTTTCGGTTTGAAGCGTTATTGGGCCCCATTTGTTCTCAGCCTATGTTTTGGCAAAAAATAATTACTTCCGATTCATTTTCTACAGGGTGTCAAATGAAAAAAAATGCAGGAGAAAGTTCCTGGATGGAGAAATTTGTTTTTTTGGATCTCAACACCAAAAACTTACAGATAATTTTTTTTTGCACAGGCACTAATTGAAGAACAGTTGCTCTAAATAACGCTTCAAACATAAATCAAATCCATCAGAATTGATCAAGTTCCAAACTTAGTCCAAATTTGTCCATGTAACGTTTATTTTGTTGGGCAGTTAAAATAAAAACAAAAAAGCTATTGCCTTACGAATTATCGTTAAAAATACTCACATTAAAAGCCTTATTCTGCGGTCTCATTCTATATGAAACCCTAAATGGAACAATGCACTTTCCCCATTTAGTTTTTACTTTGAAATCCACCATTTTAACGTGAAAATTAGAAAAAAACTGAGTAGTTTACACAATGGCCGACTTACATAATATCAGAGTTCCTTAATTTTAATTAGTTGGTTCACTTTATCATCCAAAACCTTTGAAAGTCACATATTTGAACAAAGCTAAAACAAGGGCGTTTATATTTGAATACAGATAAGTTGTACAAGATAATATCCTGCAGGTATGTAGGTATTTGAAAATGTTGTTGGCAGTCACCGAATAACTTAGTAACTATGTGTTGTTTAGTCGATGGCACAATTATGGTATTATTTCATTCCTTATAAAAACTAGAGATTATTCATCTAAAGTTGACAAAAAAATGGATAATGTATGAAAACAAACACCAATAAATCTGAAACTGACATGGAACTTAGTAAAAACGCAGAAGTAGACACATCAATAAATTGTTTCTTAGAATCACTCCTTTAGCGTGTAAGCTGTTTTAAGATGTGAATCTTACTTAACGTCTTGAATGCAATAATTAATATAACGTACCTGTTTCGGCATTTTGACGTTTTTTTTCGCTACACCTGGAAACAAAAAAAAACTATTTTAACAATTTGATAAATCCCATATGAAATAGTTTTAACCAGCAATATAAATATTAATTATACAGTAGTTTATCAAACGCTAACAAATACTTAAGTACCACTTAGTGAGATGATAAATTGATTATGGAGGGTAATATTTTACATTAATATGCAGAAATTTAATGATGTCGTTGAAAAGCAAGCGTTTTAAACGTTAAACATGCGTTCTGAAAAATAATTACATATTTGATAGTATTTTCAAGTAAATTGAAACACGAGTAAATATAGAATTCAGGGTTAAAGTGGTAAGTAACTAAAATGAATAATGTGAGAGCATCTACTTGTGCGGTAATTATTTAACATGTAAATAAAATCAGTAGTTCGAATTAAATTTTTTCCAATAAAGTGAGTCACAGTTGTGTATTATTGCAGTATTTCAGTTGAAAAAATATATTTTAAGCTGTAGCTTTAATCTTTTGCATTTTTAATAATCAATGGAATCGAAAGTGTTGTAAAATAATTGATATTCAGAAGTAAGATGTGGAATTATGCGAAATCGTTTGGAAACTAACTTCATTGGACAAATAATGATAATATTTTCCAACAATAAAATTTGAAAAAAAATTAGACTAAATATTCTAATTAAATAAATGGGAAATTCTCATCCTCTAGGTACTCTTCTACTGTTCTTTTCACATTTCACTCTGTATCTATTTGAGAATATTAGCTGGGCGCTAAACTACGAAATAAGTCTCATTTTCCAATCTTTAGATTCTTAGTTTGAGATATTCAGTACTCACTCGACAGTTTCATCAGAAAAGGCATCTTTTAGGCGTCTGAGGAACAGAAAAAAGGAGGTTGTATTTTTATACAGTAAACACTCGTATTTTATAGGAGTTTTTCCTGCATTAACAAAAATGATCGCTATTTTAAGTTGGTTAAAGTTAGTTTAAGGTTCAGAAATCCAACTGAACTTACTTTTGATATATTCAATAATAAAACGAAAACTCCAAAGTCAATAGAAAGTCTATCGGCATTTGAAGAACAGAGATAGTAATTAATTTGGACAACATGTTTCTACGGTTGTGAAGTATTTCCTTCAATATTGACTTAGAACTACTTTATTCTTGTTAATATGGTTTACGGTGCTTCAAATGCAGCAACGCATTATAAAGAGCATAAAGAGTTTAATGGAACCCAAATAAAATTTATAATGCAAAGGGAAAAGTTCGGAACCTAATGTAACCATTAGAAGAAAAACATCGGTAGGGCAATTAAACTCGAATAAAACAAGCAGTTTGATCATAGTGTTTGTCGACAGGGTGATTTAAAAATGACGTTGATCTCGAGCAGTTTTAAAAAAGATTTAAAGTTTAGAACAAATATTTTAAATCAACAATGCCAAGTACAACTCGGATGAACAAAAAATTATAATAAATAAGTTTCTTGTAACTGTCATTATCATGAAGACACTTATAAACTGAAGCATATATATAGAGTGTTCATTCTTCTAGGATATTTTAATGCAAAAAGTCGTTATTTTTATTACACATCAAAACCACATTTAAGGTTTTAGAATTTGGCAAGTTTGAGTAAGTTTGTGCAATCAGTTTATTTTTTGTTTAATTTCTGTTCTTCAAACTCAATTAAATAGGCCTCTCTAATGGAAGATTTCCAGCAGCAGGCTTCATGGTATACCTGTAGAATGGCTAAACTATCAATATTTGAAATTGGTCTCAGAATATCTTTAGAAATTAGGGATTTTTGATCAAATCCGGATCAAATCTAATTCAGTGAGGCAAAGGCAGTTTCCCACATGATCTACCGAAAACAGTCATTAAGACTAATCAGGTACTTATTAGAACAATGTTTCCTCTTTAACTTGAACATACCATGAAAATTTCACATTGTGGCATCTACTTTGAAACTCTAAATAATTTTCTATAAAA